CGAGGGCCCCAGACTGGTTTGGCTCACAAGTGCATCTTGGCTCCTAAAGCTCCCTTTATCATCGTGTTGGTACTCAGAGCAAGCTGTCAAATGTAGATATTTTAATACTGACAGAAGTGAGCCATTACAGTGGCATTTTTTTAAACGTTTATATATTTGTCTTTCAGTCGTGATACAGATATTGGAATGTTTTGTTTATACTGCCATTTGCAGTGATAATGGGATTTGGTGTCAGTAAAATGCATTAACCCCATCGTCCCTGACCTTTCACCACTCGTGAATATATGCTATGCAACTGCTGTCTAATTTATTCTCCTAGAATCGGGATTGAAGATTTTTTTTTCTGTTCCACGTGAACATTTGCATGTTACGTCACTTAAGCGTGTAGTTTGAGATTGAGTATTTAACATTCTTTTTTACCGCTTCTGCATATGTATTCATTATTATGACCACATTTGTTTAACCCAGGAAAGCCTCATTGGGTGTCAATACTTTTTTTAAAATCGGAAGAGGAGATTTTCCAATTGAGAAAATTTGCATTTTTTTGTCATCGAATGTTTTGGCCATTACGAGTTAGACTCATGGATGTTTTTTTTTTTTAATTTGAGCTAATGCGAGAAACCAAAGAAGCCAGAGAAAACCCATACAGGGCAGGGAGGGAACGTAGGCATTACGCACATAAAGGCACCCAAGTAGGGATCCGAACCTATGTCATCTAGCTGTGAGGTACAAGTTTTACCACTGAGCTACTCTGCCATCATATTAGATTAGCAGGGCGACATTTGATGGGTCCTTGGACTAAAACACAGAGTGCTCATGATGTGAAAGGTATACTGTTCAAAAACACGCGAAATAGCCGTCGGTTGGATGCAAATTTGAAAATGCGGCAGAGTATACAGATTCAGTCTATACCCAGGGCAATTTTTGAAAATGTATCTGATGAAAATGAAAAAAATAAAGAGGTGAGCAAGAACCAGATGGAGTGCTTATTGAAATAAGTAAATTCCATAATGAAAAGCAGATAGGAGTGTGCCCCAAGAGGAATCTTTTCAATCAGTGCGCAGTGCCAACTGTAACCTGTGAATGAGAAACACTGAAAAAGAAGACTGGGAGAGAGAGAAAAAAACGGATAGGTGCAGAAGAAACTCATGGGGAGATGCACAACTGATATGACACCGAGACGAAAATGAAGACTTTGAGTGATCTTCTTGGTTCTTTCGGTAAAGTCACCACGTAGAATGAAGATAAAATAATAAAAATGAAATAAAAATTCTCACGACGTTTCGGAGGCAACACAAGCTTCCGTCTTCAGGTGGGACAGTCACAGCAAGATCAGCGATCTCACGACGTTTCGGAGGCAACACAAGCTTCCGTCACAGCAAGATCGCTGATCTTGCTGTGACTGTCCCACCTGAAGACGGAAGCTTGTGTTGCCTCCGAAACGTCGTGAGGATTTTTATCATTTTATCCCCATTCTACGTGGTGACTTTACCGAAAGAACCAAGAAGATGAATCCCTGCAGTCACAAAAGCTTTAAATCCACTTTGAGCGAGTCAATAAAACGCAAATCAGAAACATCACATTTGACTGAAGAAGATTGAGCTTGAGCAAGCCACGTCATCATAGCTAAGTGCGTCTGAGCATGAATGTTGCATGTAAGTTGAACTTCTTTCGCACCGTACGTAGCCAACCGTGCTAATCGGAAGTGCGGGGGAAGGACAACAACCCTAAATACAAAAAAAAGCAGTTCTAAATAAATTAATGTTCAATCCAGAAGAGGCATTGGCCCCAGTTCGTCACGAACGAGACGCTCAATGGGTGAGACTGGTGAAAGAATGGCAGCCAATGGGATGGGTTGTGAACGTTTCTGAGAAGATGAGCACTGTTAATGAAGTGTGATGAATGACAGCATTTTCAAAATCGCGAGTGGTGACACGGTGGCGAGATGTTAACTACCTCGCCTGGTATACAGGAGATCATCAGTTCGATCCCGATGCTGATGCCTGTATACTTGGAATTTGTTGTGTCCCTCTCACCGTGGTTGCATGGATTTTTTCTCCAGGTCCTCCGGTTTCTTTCCCTCAACATTTAGAATCGACGTGATTAAAAAAAAAAACCGCTTCGTTGAGCTATCATTTGTGATGGCCAGGTCACTTCTGAAAAAAAAAGGCTACATAGCTCAGTAGGCCTTACCTGGTATATATAAAAAATAGTTTCGTTTAGTTTCATGTTTGGCGACTGCGTTCGGAGGCTTTGATAGACAACGGTTAATACAAACCGTGCGTCGTGAAAGTTCTCATTTCATTCCACGGCGCTTTTAAAAAAAATTCCAGCCAGCAATCAAAAACACCGTGAATCCGCCTCCGAGTGCTTTCCCTCCCCCCACCCCCCACCCCTACAAATAGAATACGGTGGAACTAAGAGCTACGACTTTTAATGGAATTGACTTTCCGTTGGACATTTCGAGACAGAGTTTCAGACATCACAAAAAGCGAATGGAAGTTTTGAGATGCTTTAGTTCACTTACGTATTATTTCCCCCCCCCCAAAAAAAAAAATTACGCAAGTAACGTCTGGTCCATCAAAACTGAGCTACTGCATTGATGTCAGAAAGTCAGATTTTAAAAGCATCGAAGTGCACCCCCCCCCCCCCCCACTGAAAAGAAAGGATTTTTTTTGTATATAATCCATGACTTAAATCCTAAAAAAAATGTGAAGGGATGAGTTTCTGATATCGTTTTTTTTTTCCAGACATCAGATTTAAATTTTTTACCAAGTCCATTTTGGGAGTTTATTTTAGATTTGTTGTTTTAAATACATTGCCATTATAGTTAAACAAATGATTTGCTGATGCTGCTACGCTAGCAGTGGTGCACACGCACAATTAACAAATACCAAACTCAGCACATTCGTCAAGAACACTGTGGCCTTAAAAAAAACACATGATATACATTTGTATTTGAATGCAGTGTTATTTCCAAACGTGTTCTCTTTTTTGTGATTAACTTGACTTGTTCACACGGTACCTTTCCACATGAAGTGTTGCATTTTTTTTTAAACAACGTTCAGTCAGTGAAGCAATGATATTCAAGTAGACATTTGAGAATTTTAACAGGAATAATATAAGCAAATGTTACCGTCACGGGATAATACTTTTTTGTTTACATGAAAAGCACAGATGTGGTGACGTCTAGGAAGTGATGTCACTTCCTGTGATGTCACATTTTCAGATAAATCCGAAATGAACAAAACAATTGAATATTCATCCCAGTTTTCTCTTTGTTGATCCAAGTTTCTGACAAATAAAATAAATCTGCAGCACATCCCCCATATGTATGTTTAGGCACACTGCTCATTAACCTCTGGTGGGTACTGATGATTATGAAGCCTTTGATTCATTTTCCTGTTAATATGTATAGTTTCATTTCAAATTGCAACAACCACTGCTTAAACGCCTTTTAAACAGTGTTGGCCGTTCGTGGTTATAAAACGCACAATAGTGTCTTAAAAACACAATGTCCCAATTAACTTTGATTTCGTGGTGAATGATAATTCGTCAATTAAGCGATTACAGCCCTTCCTCTTACCACTGCTGGATGATGGTCTCTTCCTCGTCAGGTCGGTCGACCTTATTTCACCACGCTGGTTAGTGCCATTTTGTGAGGGGGAGGTGGGGAGAGGGTTGAGGACCGGTGCACACGTCACTCGCCACCGGTGTTGGCCGTGACCGGGTCATCGAACTCAGGTCACAAAGTTCACGGTGCAGTGCGCTAAACGCCGTGCCACCACTTCCACTCCATTCGCTGAAGGAACGTATAACAACCACTGCTTTTACACGTTCCTGATTCCTTAGCTGGTATCATCTGAACTGTTAATTGGTTGTCAGTTTTTATCGTATCAAATTTCTATTTGTATTATTCTTACTGTTTGATATATTTTTTTACTGATATCACCAAAAATGTTTTTTTGTGGCAAAAAATATGAGTATCTCACCTGCAGCTCCCATTCCCTAGGCATTCTACTGACCTGTCCCCAAACGCCCCCCCCCCGCCCCACCATGTTCATATGAAGTGATCACGTGGCCTCCGAAACGTGGGCCAGTTTAAGATATTTGACTCGGAATGTTTGCCAAGTTACAATTCAGCCAAATGTGCAATGAAAAACAATAAAAAAAACCGACCCAGTTTGAATGGTAAGCGAATATTCCACGCAGCCTTAGTATGCTCTGGCCCGCCCCTACTGGACATCTGTGAAAAAATAGCTTTATAGCTCGTCGTATTCCTCCACTATAAAGATTCTGATTAAGATTTACCCAGGTAATCTCTCTCCACTGAGTCTCGAGATTCTTTCGCAGGAGGGTCCTGCATTGGAATATTTAGCAAATTTCCTTTTTGAGCATTTTGAGAAGACGAGGGGTGTGGGGAGGGCAACTATGTACGTCTTGGAAAATGCAGCACTCAAAACCAGGTAGTATACATATATGTGGGAGCCAGCAAATCATCTGCCTCAATGTATTACCATAATATGCAACACAATGTCAAACGTGCCGAGTGTCGGTGGCTATACACGTGGCCTTTAATGAAGCACCACCGTGGAGGAGAGGGTTGGGGGACCAGGCACGCTCTGCGAAACTCCCCGTGGGCATCGAGGAGGAGCCATAACCCTGGCTTGCCAGAAGAAGGTGGTCGACCAAACGTGGAGCCCACCTGTTCCGTCTGTACGAGACAAGCGTTGCCCCCTCGCGCGCGCGAGTTTTTTCGCCGCGTGCTCCGGTTTCCTACCACAAAGTGCTTCCTCGTGCCTCCATCGCGCAAACTCCGGTGGTCATCCTCGCATCAACGGCGGCGGCGGCTTTCGGCTCGCCATCGAACAAAGACGGTGGTCGCCGCATCGCGCGCTTTCAGACGCGCTTTTGCAGCCACCTGGAACGCTCTTCCTTTCCGATATTAGGAAGCCACTTGAGCTATGCACTTTTAAATTATCACCCAGATTGAAAACGAATTTCTTTAGAGCTGCTTTTTGTGTTTAGTTTGTTGTTTTTTTCCCGCGCATCTCTGATTAGCACGGTCGACTACTTACGAGTGAAAGAAGTTCAAAATAATACATACAAACACTCATTAATTGGCCTATAACACCTTACAATACAGAGGCCTGCAGAGCTCGGGTAATAGTTGGCACCAGCTCACAGCTTTGCTGCCTTTCTGCTTGTCTGTGCTTTTACGTGCCTCCGAGTTATTTTCTCTCTCTCCCTCTTCGAGAGCGAGCGAATAGTTTGCGGTGCGTCACAAGTTGAAATTATTCCGCGTGGCGAGCGACGAATTGTGCGAGACTACGGGCTCTCTATGTGAGCACGTATATCTCTCTGTGGGGGTCTATGCGAGTTCTAATTGTTACCGCGGTGAAGCAAAGTCCACCGCTCACACCACGGACTGTCGGGGCAAGTAGCACCTATGAAGGCCGGCACGTCACAGGAGAGGGTCGGTGGCCAGTTCCACGCCCGGTCGCGTTTGCCTCCCCAGTGGTGATGTCCACACACCTGCAACCAAGTGCTCATTTGAGGCTGGGTGTCAACCTAGGCGGAGGCCAAGGACCGATTCAGATAATCGCCACTGGTGTTGGCCGTGAGCTGGAATCAAACTCGGGTGGCCTGGTCCGCAGTGCGACGCGTGCGCTAACCGTTGCACTGCAACCGATCATTGGCCCCCGACGGGCGCATTTGCAGGGGATGCAAAATGCAATAGGCCGGGTAGCCCCCCGGGGCGCCATCGAAATGGCTTCTCCAAGCTCGACATGCAGTTATCAACACGCCCATATTTTTTGTTCACGAATTCCATTTGAAAAAAAAAACAGCACATGATAATATTTGTGTAAATCCTCCAACCCTGCCTTAATTGCAACGTTATCCAGGCGAGTGCAGCAATGGCTTTTTTTTCTTCTTTTAAGATTGCTTAAAGCTATCTTTTTTTAATTATTTACCAGACTTGGTGTGTGTTGCCTGTTGCATGCTAAAGCATTTCCCTTCTAACATATTTAAGTCATCTGCACCTGCTCGGCATGAACTCCAATCTGTTGGGCACATTTTTACTTGAAATCCTTTGCATACAGAATGCACGGTATAGTACTATTCAGCCAATGCGTGTATCCCCCACCTTATTAACAAGAACATTCAAATTAATTCCACAGCGTTTCTTAAAATAAAGTGCTCAAAAAGCTTCGGGAGGTTTCAGATTTTTTTTTAAATCGCTCTTCTTTTATCAATTGTTTTTCTTCTTCTAGCGAAGCAAATTGCTATTCCCGGGTTCCATCTGAGAGACTTCAGCGTAACTTCCCCAAAAAAAGCCTTTGCTTCATCGTCCCGAGACAAATAGCTAGCGTGAGTTATAAATCACAAAGTCCGTTACACTGCTGCGTGGCTTTTCGCGGTTGTGCTGCGCATCTCTCTCGATGCGCCTTCGGTGTCGTACCGCGCGCTGATCGGCGCGACGTCCGACGTTTCGCTCCACACGTGCCGGGACCTTGTTCAGGAACCGGGCGCTTTGGCAACTCTGCGGGCAGAGCGAGATGCGTCGGGCGTCGTGCCAAACAGCGGGACATGCTTCCTCTCGGTTCCCGAAGAAGCTCCCCGCCCTTCCGGAACGTTCGCAGAAAAAACATCGGACAACCCAAAAAAAAACAATCGGAGGGCTCCCTACTGGGTCCAGAGTCTCGATACGTCCGGCGACCACCACCACCACCAGCAGCAGCAGCAACAGCAGCATCGGCTCGAGCAGCGTGTGACCGCGCGGGTATGAGCCGCGCTCAGAGTTTGGAGTTGTTGAGCTGGTCCATCAGCAACACGAGCTCCTCCCTCCGCGTCGTGACGCGCCGCAGCTGCTCCTTGATCTGCTCGATCTCGCAGTCGAGCTCCGACAGCTCGCGCAGCACCGACACGTGTCCGTCGGCCGGCAGGAAGCCCTGTCTCTGCCGCTGATGCTGCTGCTGCTGAAACGCAACTGGAGTGGCGCTCGCGGACGAAGCGATCGCCGCCGGCGAACCCAACTCTGGCGACTGGGCCGCCGCGGCCACGGACGGCCCCGTCGCAGAAGCGACCGCCGGGTTCCGCTTGGGCGCTGACAGCCGATGGCCCCACGACGCCTTGGAGCCAGCGTAGCGGCCGTGGCCGAGGGCGGCCGCCCGGCGAGGGGCGGACGCGTTGGCGAGGAGGGTCTCGCGGTACGCGTGGCGCTGCAGCTGCTGCTGATGCTGCTGCAGCTGATGCTGCTGTTGCTGCTGCTTGCTGGAGCGGCGTGGAAAGGTCCGCTGCAGGGCGTCGGAGTCGAACTCAGCGCTGTCGGGGATGAGGGTCAGGTCACGGTACACGGTCCTGTCGCGGAGAAACGCACGTCCGTTTGCGTTTGTGGGGACATCGCCACTGGGGAGACAAAGGCGGCCGTGCGTAGTGATGGCCACCCATCCCTTCATGTGCTATGCCGGCCTTTATAGGTGCTCGCTAACAGCACTTGCCCTAACAATCTGCCAAGGCTATATGGGGGATTTTTTTTGTGGGGAGTGGTGATGTAGTAGGTAGCGTACTGCGCTATGAATCCGGCGACCCGAGTTCTATTCCCGATCACAGCCGACAGCAGTGACGATTATTTGAACCTGTCCTGGGCCTCCCCTGGGTCGACTCAGCCTCAAATGAGTACCGGATGTTGCGTGTGATCATTGCCACTTTGGAGACAAAGATCGTCGGGCGTGGTGCTGGCCTCGTGTACCGTGCCGGCCTCCATAGGTGCTAGTCGCGAACAGACCATGCAGCTACGTGGTAGGCAACAGAGGGATGGTGGAGGCAAGTCCACTGTTGTACTCTACGCTTTCACGGGCTATGTTCCATATCTTCACCAAATCGCACTGACGGGCGTGGTGAAGTATGCTCAAATCAAAATCAGGAGTTCATCATCCAAGTAAATTACCCATTGAGCTAGAGGGCTCTTTTTTTCAAGCATGACTCGGCCAGCAGACAGACACGGCAGCAAGAGTTCATGAACACGAAATTAAATATGTAAATAATATGTATATATGTAAAACGAAATGATATTACGAAACAATTACGTATGTTCGCCTTTGTAATGTTTGACCCTCGATGACGTCCGTTTCAAAGAGTACAGAGATAATAATCTCCTTGACCCGCAATTAGTCTGCAGAATGGCGCTCATTGAACGGTGGATTGACAATTAGATAAGGTCCTTATATATAATTAATGTACAGCGTTGTGGGATGCTATCAGCATGAATGACGCTGTATAAAATAAATAAATAGATAAATAGATACACATATCCATATATCGTGGGACCTTTGTTGGAAGTTTCAAAGTGTGAAAAATCCGAATGGGTTTTACCCTTTCTGGCAATAAAACAGGTGTTAAAATGTTCCCACACCAAACATATACATTTTGCAAGGGATTGTTAGTATAACAACAACAACAATGCTGTAGCGGCAAGAGGCAGGTGTGCATGAGATGTAATTGTGACAATTAATGGCAGTGTTAAACCATCACTTTGGTTTATTGCTGTTTAGTTTAGACCCAGCGAGAATTTAAGAGACTGGTCAGGAATAGTCTCATTTGTGGGAGTGACCCCGGGGTCGCCAGAAGGGGACAAAAGGCCATGAAGCGGAATACGGACGATGAGGGACATCAAACAAACGCAGGAGCCGAACGACCGCGTTGCAGGCGAAATAAAAACACACAGCACAAATGTCGATACAAATATATAATATCAAATAAAACATCCACAAAAAACATACCTCGTTGGCTTAGTCAAATTACGTGTAAATAATTCATAGAAAAATTAAGTAAAAAAAAAACAAATATTAGGAGGTTTTTATTGTATCTTTTTTTATATTTTACACTTGTTTACCCAAGAAAGCCTCATTGAGTACAATGACTTTTTTTGAGGAGGGTCCTGCCAGGTTTATTGGCAGCAAGGGGGCGATGTCCGTTGACCTATTGTTTCTGGTCAGATGTCTTCCTTGGGGAAAAAAATAACAAATCTATTCCCAAATGAGTAATTTCCAGGTAACTTTCCGGTATTGGAATGTTTGGCCAATACCAGTTACATTGAATGGTTCTCATTTTTTTCCCGCACCTACGATTAGCACGCATGGCTATGCATGGTGCGAAACAAGTTCAACAACTACAGGAGGAATCTCAAGAACCTGCAGGAAACCCATGAAGAAATACAGGGGGAGAGGGCATAAAAATGGAACGTCGCCTAAACGTTGCTATACATAAACAGTCAGAGAAGACTCTGACAATCGTGTATATTTTGCACCCAGAATGGGTAACACAATTGAATCAAATATATCGCTTTACAAATGTAACAATTGGTAGCTTGCTGTTTACACCCCTATGCTTATTTATTCTTTAACTTCTTATGGAGTTCTCACAACCCATCCACTCCCTCTCCTCTCCAGGCTTAACTGCCTTCAAACTGCTATTTCGCCCCTTTTTTATCTAGACTCTGACCCTCCCTTAATTGCCCCAACCGACAGCCTCGTGGCTGCCCGTTAACTCTGCCCCGACTGACAGCTCCCCGCCGATCGCGCTCCACGTCACACCCACGAGCTGTTGGGAGTGGGTGTCTCTGTCCACTCAGTGGTGCTGATAACGTTCGTAATTCAGCACCATGAGGTCGGGAGACTCATCCCTGCAGCTCCTCTTTGTTGTGTCACCCCCCCCCCCCCCCCCCCTTTATCACAGTCTCTCAATGTACACGAGGAGAGTGTTTCACTACAGACTCCAAACGGACCAGCACACGATTCGAGAACCGAACCGATGTGCATTTAGCTGTTGAGGTACAAGCTTTAAAACAAAACAAAAAACTATTAATATTTTACCAGGTAAGGCCCACTGAGCTATATAAAGCTATTTTTCAAAGCGACCTGGCCACAAATGATAGCTCAACAAAGTGGCTTATCATCATGTGGGAATTTACATCAGCCAAGGACTCTAATTACTCTGTGATTCGCGGCTTGCTTTGTTTTCTTTAGAAAATAAGGCACCTTGCTCACTCAAACAGGATGTGTATTTTCAGCGCAAGATGTGCCGGGCTTTCAGGGTTAAACCGCTGCACTGCCCTGCCCTCGCATCACGTTAGCGGCGTGACACATGATGGGGCCTGTGGGCTAAAACACAGACTACTCATGATGCGGAAGGTGAACTACTTTAAAACCACGTGAAATAATAATCGGTTGGACACAGATTGGAAAATGCAGTAGAATATACATATTCAGTCTATACCCAGGGCAACGAGTGAAAATGCATCGGGATGAAATCATGAAATGAAGACGTGAGCAAGGGCCGGAAGGAGTGCTCATTGACAAACAAATCCCGTCAATGAAAAGCAGATACGAGTGTGACCCAAGAGGAAGCGTTTTCAAAGTGTTACCATTGCGCCAACATGCTATACCCAATAAAAGTCATCACGACACTATTGGGTACACAGGCCAGGATATGCATCAGCTACGTTGTCAAGTGAGGTCATTAGTGCCTTAGCAAGGATGATGCGGGCCCGGTGGACTGCCTCAGGCATCCCTCCCGAGAGGGGGGAGGGGGGCACCGCTTGAATGGGGAGCCCGATTGTTGGTGGGAGGGGTGGGGAGGGGTGGGGGGGGATGCAAGGATGGCACCTTGCTCCGAGTGCCAACCAAAGTCTCGCTATGGCTCTGAGAGTCGTGGGCACAGAATCGGCGGGTGTGTGTGACTTGTGATCGTGCACGGAAGAGGCCGGGAGGCTGGAGGGGGGGGGGGGGGGTGGCGCGGTACCTGCTGTTGTTCATCTCGGTGTTTTGATGCAGCTGGGTCTGTGGCGTCTTGGCCTCGGGGGAGTCGAGCGTCACGTGGAAGCTCTGTCACAGAGCGGGAGCAGGCAGCGTTCCCATGATTAGGACGATTCGCGCGAGCGAGCGATGCCTGCCCATTTCTCTCTCTATTTCTCTCACTCTTGTGCGTGTTTCGCACACCCTTTAGAATATCACTCCGGGCCACTCTTCCTGATAACCGCTCATGAATCAGTAATTAGACAAGGTCCCCCTTACGTATAACCACGTGAGAGGGCATTGAGGCAAACGTTTTCTTTTGCAAAGGGAGATTTAAAACACGTAAAATGTCACCATCGTCTTCATCGGCCACGATCAATCCACTGCTAGATGAATGTCTCCCCACGCCGTTGCCAAATCTCATTGTTCTGCGATCTGACAAGCCACGCAGCGCCTGCGGCGTGAGCTGATTTAATCGCTCCATCTCCTCGCTCGAGATCCCCTCCAGCGCGTTCCATTCATCCGCCGCCGCTCCGCTATCAGTCTCGACCATCGGCCATCGTCCCTTCGTGCCGTGACGCGCATCCTTGCCCAAGCCCAAATTTATTTCGTAATTGGGATGAACGACGACCCTGAACTCCTGCACGTTTGCTGATCCGTGAATTCCTTTGTCCGCCTCTCAGCGTGTGCCTCTCCAAGCCTATTTGGGCACTTTGCGAGATTTCGTTCCGTCGGAAATTTCACGAACGACCTCAGTTTTTGTTTTCTGTCGAAGAACCATTTTAAATCCAAGCAGTGCTGCCGTGCGCGCTGAGCGCGAACGTTTGCCCCTCTCTATGGGCGCAATGAATTCTCAAAGTTTCAGTTCCTCCAAAAGCACTGCGGCGACCCCGCTCTCCGGCAATATGGGTCGCGGAAAATAAAATGCGAGACGCACAATGGCACGCGAAAAAAAGAGAACGCTTCGAATGAAAAATCAAATGAGAGAGATACTGAACCGCCGAGCGATATTGCTTTAGAAAGAGCAAAGAGCATTAAGTTAAAAAAACTAGTGATCTATTAACTGCGCCAAGCGGCAGTTTAAAAATGAAATAATCCAGGTTAATTAAAATATAATTAGCGTAATGTGCTATATAAGCTGTCTGCGTTAATGGTCTCTAAAAAAACAATTGTCGTAACGACTGGCCATTAGAGAATCGATCAATGAAATGAAATATGATCGCGGTGGCACGGATGAAGAATGAATCCAAGAGGCAATATCATTCCAACATAACTGGTACAATATACATAGGCACCTTTAGAAAGCCCCCACACGCAAATGGATTCTCGAAAATCCATACAAATAGGTTATCAATCCCCTTGTTTGTTGCACTGAATGAACGCAATATTAAAATGGAATATAATTTACTTCAACTTAATGTACGCGAGGACCAGGGTGAGACATTCCCTGCGGTGATCTTATGGATGGACTTGTCCCCTGCCATAGAAACAGGGGGCTCATGGAGGCTAACAGAGGTGAGCGCCAGCGTGACGCGGTGATGACACGTGCGCCTCGCAGCAAGAACGACCTGGGTTCGATGCCCGACCCGGGCGTCGGTCTGCGTTGCAGTTTGTCGTGTGTTCTCTCCCCCTTATTATTTCTTAACGTGTTTCCTCCGGGTTCTCCGGTTCCCTCCTGTAGCTATAAAAGGAGCACCATGCAATGGTAACTTGGTCTTGGCCAAACATCCCAATGCTGAAAAGTTACCTGGAAATAACTCAGTTGGGATTAAACTTGGCAACACTGCCCGGCAGATTGGGAATAAACCTGGCAGGACCCTCCAGCCCAGCAGATTGGGAGGTCCACCACAGATTGTGATATAAAGTCTGCACAATGCAAACTCAGGTAAAATATTTCGTATAATCGCAGTGGGGGGTGGGGGGGGGCTTTTTACTTGGGCATAGTATGCCGACCGATTATAAAATCGATTCGGATGACTGGGATGTGGCATAACGAGAGGACAGAAAGAGGAAAACCAGACTGGAAGAAGGCAGATGATGAACATGGAGTTATCAGGACGGAGATCGAGAAGCAGGGCCTAGATAGAGGTGGTTCAGAGTGGTCAACCAGGATGTGAAGGACTGTGGAGTGGGCGTTGAGATGATGGCCCGGGACAGGAATGAGTGGTGAAATATGTACGTTGAACTTATTTTACACCATACGTAGCTAACCGTGCTAATGAGATGTGCGGGCGAAGGGCAACACACTTAACACGAAAAGCCGTTCTAAAAAAATACTTTTCAATCTGGAAAAAAGATTGTATAGCTCCAGTGGCTTCACAATATCAGAGGTAAGAGCATTCCAGACGGCCACAGAAGCGCATCTGAAAGCGCGCGATGCCGTGACCGTCGTTGTTTGATGGCCAGCCAAAAGCCGCTGCTACGAGGATGATGGCGGGAAGGCAGCCAAGATCCCCGCATGAGCTGGAAAAATTCCAGGAGAAAATTAAAAGTAAGTCAACCAATTAGGACCGTGATTCAGTGCAGAACAACTTTGCACTCTTCCTCGAAAAGGCAGAAATGCCCATAAAATACCACGCACCAACGATGATGCTGCATTACAGTTTTTTTTGCGCACGCGCATGTGTATGTGTGCGTGTGTGTGTGCGTGTGTGTACGTGTGTGTGCGTGTGTGTGCGTGTGTGCACGCGTGCGTGTATGTGTGTGTGTAACCATCGACTCATTCTGTAAACGATGCGTGCGTCCCTTAACAAAAAATCAACACGTTCATCAATTTTTCATCCAGGGCAGTGTTTTTCGAAGAAACCTTGCCCAGTCTTTTCTTATCTGCACTCAGGCACCTTAGCCAACGGCAGTTTCATAACAACAACAACAACCTTCCCATGTTACTTAAAACTCAAGATACTCACTCTTCAATTGACACCAATAATAGATTAGCATTATTATTATTATTCGTAGTGGTTACCTGGCTGGTGTAGTGCCCCGACATGGACTTGCCAGATGCTCGCCTCTGCCTCTGGAGGCCGAAGCGATGCATCAGCTGCTCGACGACCGCTGTTAGCAGGGCTGCGGCCGCCCCGACGCACAGGAAAATGAAGAGTCCCAGCAAATGCTTCAGTCCCATGTGCTGGCTCTGAACGGCAAAGAGAGAGAGCGCGCGGATTTACCGGGGGTGGTGGGGGGGGTAGGGGGGGCTGCTCCTGTGTGCAAGAGAAACGGCAGTGTAGCAGCGCTACGAAACTGGGGCGACCCGGGTTCGATTCGCGCTCGCTGCCAACAGCGGTGACGATTATCTGAACCGGTCCTGGGCCTTCCCCGAGGTCGACTCAGCATCAAATGAGTGCCTGGTGCGGTGTGTGAATATCACCACTGGGGAGACAAAGGCGGTCGGGCGTGGTGCTGGCCACCCGCCCCCTCTCGTTTGCCGTGCCGGCCGTCATAGGCGCTTCTCGCTAACAGCATTTGCCCCAAACAGTCTGTTAAGGCTACAAGGGGTGGGGGGGGGGGGGGTCTTTGTCTTTTTCTGTGCCAGTTTTTGTTTTGCGTGTGCTTTTATCGACGTTGTCATTGCTTATTCAACAAGCCGGTCCGTCCTGCTTTGCGCTTTATGACAAACAGCACGCCGATGTAATGTTGAGGGGCCAAGTTAATTATTTCGCTGGAACGCGTTCTTGTCAAATGCATGTCTCGTTGTTTTATCAACGGTCACGGCGGGTTTTTTTGTTCCATTGACGTGATCACCGCACTCATCGTGAAATGTTGCTGTGGTGATAAAAGACCGGTGTATACAGATGTAATGGGCTCGATTGAGGTGCACACTCGAGACTTGGAGGCAACACTATTTATTAACGCACTACACCAACGTGAACACTATGCACAAGTTGGTGACCACCGTTCCTAATCTCACTAACACTCGGGGAACACTGCACAGCGTGACCAAGGCAGGTGACGGCTGCCTGATCACGAACGACGATCGGAGACTTGAGGACTTTGCATGGCGTCTTCATCCCGGAGTAGAACAACCCAGCTCCCCGTTCACACCCCGCTTATAACGACTCCGGCGAGGCCGGCTCCGCCCCAGGCCACGCCCCCCCCTTCTCGATCCTTCGGGAAGGTCCGGGCCCCCAACCACGTGTCCTGTTGGGATCACGCGGAGTGCCACGGCCTGACACGACCCCCGTGACACCCGCCTACAGCCCCCATACCGAGCCGACACGGTAGTGACGTCATATGTCCCTACGCTCGTACAGTCCCGACATAGTAGTGACGTCGTGTCACGCCACAATTATTACCGATTAATAGACGCGAACATCGCTAACACCATTAATGACACCATTACCAATACTACCATCGTCGTCATCATCATCATCATTCTGTAGTTCAGCATCAGTCAACCACCACCATCACCACTACCAACATTTTTCATCATCATTTTCATCATCATCATTCCGTGGTGCATCATCATCATTATCATCATCATCAATCGGACATTTCCACCACTGACTACCATCACCATTTTTGCCTTATTTTTTCATCATTAAATAATAATAGTATTTATTTAATTTATTTACGTTTTCAATAAGACACATCAGACCCAACAGAGGCCTTGGAGCAACGTACAGTCAAATGTATTAGAAAAATAATTCATATTCTTAGCTCTTTCGGTAAAGTCACGTTGAAAGGAAACAATAAAATTATTTAATAAAAAATATATATTTTTATTATTTTAATAATATATATTTTTATTATTTTATTGTTTCCCTTCAACGTGACTTTACCGAAAGAGCTAAGAATATGAATTACTGCAGTCACGAAAGCTTTAAATAAAAAAAATAATTCAGTTCATCTAACATGTGATAGAAGAAAAAAATTATTGCTGTGGTTTTCCCACCTGATGATGGTTGCTTGTGTTGCAATCGAAACGTCGTGATTTATTCTATTTTAGACCTACGTGACTTTACCGAAAAAAACAAAGAGTATGGATTCCTGCAGTCAGCAAAGCTTCAAATCTAGATCAAATCTAGATATGATAGAAAATAAGCATTGGTTTTTAGTTTATTTCTAAATGGCAGATTCTCAGCGGTCAGGCGCAGAGTTCTTCAGGCAGAACCCTCCGAATCTGCTGGGGGTGTTGCCGTCAAATCGACAGCACCACCACCAGTCAAAAAAAGTACGGCATGCAAACAAATGCTTACTTTTACTCCACTCTCCTGGAATCACATGGAAATGCCAGGATCTTCTGGAAAACAATCAAATGTATCGAAAAGGCATCCAACACAGATAATCTGCCCATTGCGCATACCCGAAATGGGGACTATTTTTCAGAGCCCCAAAAAATAGTCGACAATTTTAACCTTAATTTTTCTGAAGCTGGAGACCTTTTTGATAATGCATTGGGAGTCACCCTTGTCCAAACATTAAACGAATTTAGTTTCCAGCCTATCCACGAAAGTAATGTTCTGAAACAACTGTCCTACCTCAAAGGGTCCTCCTCTAGCGGAGCAGATCGTATTCACGTCTTTGCTCTGCTAACTGTTGGTCACCTAATATACAAACCTATAGCCCATATTTTCAACCTGTCCATAAAAGAAGCATCAGTACCTCTAGAATGGAAACAATCCTATGTTTGTCCACTTCACAAAGGGGGCCCTAAAGATGATCCAAATAACTACCGGCCTATCTCAATTTTGTCCCCGTTGATGAAAATTTTTGAAAAATTATTGAACTAAAAAATTAGCAGTTTCCTGTCCGACAACAATCTACTACATCTAAAACAATCTGGGTTCCGAAAAAAATACAGCACCACACCTGCTGCATTAGACTCTCTGAATAACATTTACAGTAGCCTTGATAATAAGCAGTACTGCGCCAGTCTTTTTCTTGACTTGTCCAAAGCCTTTGCTACAGTGGACCACAACATCCTGCTTAGTAAACTAAGTTCCCTCTGTTTCTCCAAACACATAGTAGAATGGTTAAAAATGTACCTCTCTTATCGTACCCAAACTATATTCACAGATGGTTGGAGGTCGAAAAGTGTTAAGATAAACGCCATGAGAATTTTATTTTTTTATATTTTAAATATTGTATTGTTTCCCTTCTACGTGACTTTACCGAAAGAACCAAGAATATATAACAAAAGGGGTTCCACAGGGTTCCATCCTCGGCCCCCTCTTGTTATCTCTTTATGTCAATGACTTGGGCACTGACCTGGATTATTCCAGGGTAAATCTGTTTGCAGATGACACGATACTGATTACTGCTGGCCACTCTCCGGATGACGTGATTGCTAAGCTCCAGGGTTATTTCAACAAACTACAACATCAGCTAGTTGCTCTTAAACTGGTCCTGAATACCTCCAAAACCACGGTGGTATGCTTCTCACCAGGACTAAAGCAGGAAGTTGTTTTTCCTCAAATATATTCCTTAAATAATCATGAAATAGAGCAAGTCAAGATCTATAAGTATATTGAGGTCATCTTTGATTCAAAACTGAGTTTTCAAGATCACATTGATTATATTGGTTAAAAGACAAAATAAAAAAAATGGTTTTCTGTATCGACACAAGCAATGCTTCCCCCCAATGTTCCGTTTGGAATTGATAAAAGCTACCATACTTCCTCTACTTGATTACTGTGACATCGTATATAAATCATCCCCCAGTACTTTACTGAAGAAGCTTGACTCAATGTATCACTTGGCCTTAAGATTTGCATTGAACTGCCCATATAGGACTCACTACTGCGATCTCTACATTGGGTCAAACTTAACTTCTCTTGATGATCGACGGCTTGTGCATCAGATCATATTTATTCACGAAGTACTTACAAAAAAATCAGCAGACTACCTGCTGGATCTCCTCACTGTTTCGAAGAACAAATGTGACCTCAGGTCTTTGCTCATTTACCAGCTTCACATTCCTTATTGCCGTACAAATACTGGAGGAAGGGCCTTTGCTATTGATGGCCCCAGGGTCTGGAATGCTACTGCCAATAAACTGCAACTGGGATCACTACCTGTGAGATCTACACTCAAAACTGGTCTAGAGGAGTTGTACACACCAAGCTGCCACTGCTATTCAGAATGGCCTGAAATCAAATGTATCATTCCGGATGACTGCTGCAAAGTATGATCTTGAGGTTTGATTGTGGTGTGCTGATCTTTAAAGGTGTATTGAGAATGTTTTATTCTGCTACTGATGCTCCTGCTGTTATGGAGTGACTCATGCAGCCAGCTATGGTTTGGTAATACATGTTATGTATATCGTTCGTTGTTGTATTTGAATCACAGTTCCTATGATCACTGTTACATTGTTTTTGTGGCTTTATTTTGGTGATTTTGAGGACGGTTTGGTCTGGCCTTGTTTGTTTGTTGTATTACAGAGTTGGCCTGCTAACTTGAATCTATATTGTCCTATGGTTGTAATTGTTTGGCTTGCATTCCCACTGGGATTTTTGCACACAGCGTTGAAACGCGGTGTTTTTTCTGGAAGACTTTTTGCTGTTTAATCCAGGATTTTTTTCTGTTGCGTGTAGTCACTTTAAGATGTTTCTTTGTTCGTGTTTTTGTTTTGTTGCGGTTGCGTGCGAGTCAAGAGCCGCATGGCTCACAGGGTCATACCTAATAAATGAAACTGAAATAAATGAAACTGAAACCAGCAATAGCAGCAAGCATCACAACTATCCGATAGCCGCAACAGACACAAACCCTCGCTCACGCTCTCTCAGTCTCCAGTCCATTTCGCACGGAACCACAATGCGAACCCAATCACGCCGGCCCGGTGATCACATTTAAAGTCTCGCGGAATCACAGCTGCAACAAATAATAATAATAACCAGCGCCGCGGGACACCACCGTGTTGTGTGAGGGTGTGGGAGGGGGGGAGGTATTGGGGTGTTGGGTGGGTGGGGGGCAAGAGGGGAGGCTCCCACCCGGAGAGAGGGGGTGGGGGCTCCCCCCCCCCCCCCCAATACTCACGTCCTTTGATTTGAGTCCGTGTTGCCCACAGGGACCCGGCTTGTACCACTTGTCGTGCAGGGCGCCTAGGTCCCCGTTGAGCCTGTACGTTTGAATCAGGTCCGAGATGTTGGCCGTCAGCCCAGATCCCTTTCTCAGTCCGATCCCGTATTCTGCAGCGGCAAAGGGGAAAGAAGGCGGTAATGAAAAACAACAATCATCGTAAAATCTGGTGCGGGGGTAAAGGTGCGGTCCCGCAATTGCTCTCCGCCGATACGCGTGCCGGTATTGTTTGTAAATAGACGCAAGTGTGAGCGGCAAAGGTGCAGCCCTGCCACTTCTGGTTGAAGAGAACTCCAAGAGAACCCAACTAGAAGGGGCAGTTTGCCTACTCTTCCACGCTGGCCACACAATATACATTTAACGCGATTTTCCTTGACGATTGGTAGGTAAAGGCGCAGGCCCTGCAATCGCCTGAATCACGTCTCAGCTGGGCAGAAGGGCCTTGAGTTCCCTACTCTTCTTACGTTGACCTCACCTCCTGGAACGGGTTTGCAGTACCCACACTCTACCCCACCAAACGGAAACCTGCCGATCGACTAAGTCGTGGTGCACCCTATTAATACCGCTCGGCGGACAGAGCCGGGAAGATTTGATTTTCATTTTTATTTTTAATTGTTTCTCAAGGACCCAGAATAGAAGCGAAACTTTGAGAAGGAGGGAAACAACAGATCGCACAGCGTGTAACAGCGATACGCCCTTAACTTCACGGACCCATCGAGGCCATTTGGGATCACTGCAGTAGGTGGAGAGATTTAAGAACCTTGCATCGTTGTTGCAATTGCCTCGCCCTGAGATGGAACGGAAGACACAGTGAGCGGTGTGCTATCTAACCATCGTACCGTGGCGGCATCGCCCGAGAAAAAAAAGTTAAACAATAAAAATATGAAGATTCAAACGAAATGAGTGTCGCCCCAATTTTGCTTTGCACGACCGTAACGCGTGGCTCCAGGACATTGTCGGAGGCGGCACACCAAGGTGAGTGCGGAGATTCTGGTGAAGTCGCGCGTATCCCAAATTGACATGATGCGATTTGTATTTTAAATATACACAAAAGCAAGATTAATACGCAGAGTGCTTCAAAAAGAATGTTAACACTCACATGGGACTCTCCATTTTTAATGGAAAAAGAAACGGATAATTACACTGTAACGTGATGTATGTTAATAGCCTAAAAAAGTCCAGAGTCTCCACTCGTTCGCCATCATTGTGAACACGTGGCCTGGAATCTTCTCCAGGTGGTCTCCAGAGCCCGGAGGCAGCAGCACAGTTCTTGTGGTATTGTTGCAAATTCTCCGAAGTGTTAACATTGTTTTGAAGCACCCTGTATATCGTAAACATTTTATTCTTTACGGAAAATTTCGGTTTGGACGCACGAATGACGTCACCTCAATTCCGAGACGTTACGAACCCTCCGCCGAACCCAAAACAGGATTACGTTTCCACGCGGGCGCCAATTGTTATCGTTGGTTTCAGCTCGCCGGCCGGTGGAAAAATTGAACGAAGCGATCCTCGTGGCCAAGTTTAGCGTTTTGAGATCTCCCCAAACCCCTGCCTCTGGATTCCTCCCTCGCATTCCTCCGTGAGTAACAAAAAAGCAAACCTCGTGGCGCGCACACATTGAACGTCAAAAGGACATCCCGAGGCGTGGGAGAACGTTCTGGACCTGCTCCGACTGGGCGCCTGTGAAAAAGAGCTTCTCAGCTCATCGGATTCGTCCTCCGGTTTAAAAAAAAATAATCCGATTCTGACTTACGGCCGACCGGAAGCTGCGAGGTGGAACCAACGATGAGACTGCGGAGGCTAAATCTGCCGTCGCTTCAACGGATGAGTGTTCAGCTATTGTTGGCTTGAATTCTGATTCATTTGATTTTTTATGACCTCTCATATGGGAGATGAGTCAAATCCTACACTTGTAAATTGCTGTTACCTATCTCGCAAGAATCTTGTCTCGCATGTCTGGAAGTTCACATATTAGTGTATAAATTCACATTCATGTCTATGCCTCTGCCTTTCTATCTCTTCACACTTCTGTCTATATGTCTGTGTATCTTGTCATATGTCTGTATATATGCCTCTAAACGTCTGTCTCCATGTCAGTGTAAATACGTGTGTACCTGTATATCGCTCTCATCACACTTCAGTCTATCTCTCCGCATTTCTGCACATTTGTCCATCCGTCTCTCTACACATGGGTATAGGAATATTTATTTATAACGGAGGAATCCAATGGGCCATGAAGCTCCTTTTTTACAGACGTCCAGCCGGACACGTGTCTCTGTCCGCCCGTGGTTCTCTCTCCATTTCTCGGTGCGTCTGTCTATGGCGTCTCTCCGTCCCTCCAACATCGCGGCCCGTCTGCCCGCCCGCCCTTCGTGTCCGACGATCGGCCCGTGGCGTAACTCTCCCCCTTCCGGAGAGAGAGAGAGAGAAGCCGTCGGGGGGGGGGGGGGGGGGTGCTGGGAGCGTCGCACGTTCAAAATCCATTACGCGCGAGGCTGACGCAACGTATATAAAACAGAGAATTAGGATAAATGACAGTGCGGACGGAGGCGCATTTTGGGTCAAGATCATCCATTGTGTGCGCGCCGTGGGCATTCTCCACTTGAAGAGATTCGCGATTGATTCGCGGCCCGCGATAGAAAAACAAATCCTCGTCAGGTCACTCATGAATACAACTTTTGTTGATTTCCAAAAGAGCTTTTCGACGTCCGTGATAATAAACGGTTCCTTAATTTTCAGGTTTCCGGCGTGAATTTCGATGTAAACCTAGAAAAATGTAAGTTATAATTCTGCGGCAGCTATCTTGCAAGTAACCAGAGCGCTGTTGATAACAATAAATTGCATTCACAAAGCACCTCTATGCAAGGCACTCAAGGTGCTGTAAATGCCAAGACATAAATAAATGGAGTATTAGCCAAGGGGAGGAAATACTAAGGAGTAAATAATATAATTGAGAGAACCGAAAGCATTAAATAAATAACTGGATCTTCAGGTGAGGTTTAAACCACAGCCAGGGAGCAGCACCACACTGGGAGAGGGCGTTCAGACAGCCAGGGAGCAGCACCACACTGGGGGAGGGCGTTCACACAGCCAGGGAGCAGCACAACACTGGGGCAGGGAATTCAGATGGCATGATCACCCATTGTACCTAGCAGAGAGTGCAAAGTGATGTACAGGGCAGTGGCTATCGGCATATCAGTTTCCTTAACAAAACCCGATTACTTCCACGATGGGAGTTCAAATCCCGGCCAGGGGTCAATTCATTTTTTTTCCGTGGGGCAGACACCAACGAGAGCACGTGCCCAACTCGTGGGAATTCAAGAGTTGGCTGCCTCGTGATACAAAAGGAAAAAGAAGACTCCAATCCGCTGCCACAGGGAATGTGGAATTTCCACCACCACCGACACGATGTCTGCTGGCGAGGTCTTCATCCAGCCGAGCGTCGATTCACGTGAACGGACGAAGACCCCCCCTCCCCCCCCCCCCCCCCCGCAAGGTGAAGATCCCACACGAGCAACTTCGGCACGGTTGTCTTATCTAATGCTTAGAAGGTGATGGACCACGTTAATAAATGCTCGGCTTCAGCTGGGTTGTGAATTAACCCTCTCATCGTACCTCACGACTCAACTGTGGTGGACCGCAATGATTTATACCGCTGCGATGAAATAGTATGATTTTTTTACACGTTTGGATCATTTTCACGTCACTCGTGAAATCTAAATTAATCCAATATTTTATTGATAATTTTTTTTTTGCTTTTAATTATTCATGCGTGATAGGATTAAGAACTCCCCAACAAAAAATATATACAGTATTTTGAGTGATTATTTTTTGCAGTTGTTCCGGTGATTGGTGATTGAACTAAGACCATTGATTTGCAACAACAGATGACAAGGGAGTAGCAGAGAGGGCATGCGGATTGACTGAATTATTAATGTGAGATCATAACTTTGCACTGGCGTTGACCCTTGGAATCCTTTAAGGTGACAAATGAGTGAGTATTATTGCGAAGTATGGACAGATTTTTTTTCCATAAACAGATGTTTTTAAAACATGCTCAGGCAAATCAAGCGAATATATAAACTTGTCTAAATAACACTTGTTATGTACAGCCATTTTTCAATCCACTGCTGGATGAAGTCATTCGCATGTACACCTGCGTGATGGAGGATGTCATCTCATTCGTATTGTTTGTAATTCGTTCCATCGTTTATACGGTTATATTCACTCTGTCCGTTTTACGTGTTTGAAGAGTGTAACATGAGCATGCAAATTGCACAACTAAGACATCATCTGCCCCCATGCATGGTATTGGAAGAATTCTTAATGAGCATAAGAATGTATTTAACATCATTATTCGATGCATACCTATACGGATTAATGGACGGTCGAACGGTGGAGCAGTGGTTAGCAAGCTGACCTCCCGAGTCTGGTCACGTGAGTTTGAGTCCTGGTCATGGCTAACATTGTTGGCGAGTGGCGGCTGAACCGGGAACCAGTCCAAGCCCCACCGCTACCTTCACCGATCTTCACTCGCCAGTGTTGGTGAAGTACGGTCAAAAAAACCTCCTTAACCATCACAGCGTGGCGAGGCCTCCATCTAGCAGTGGTTGGACGAAATGGATGCACGCCGTTACTTGTTCACACTTGATCTCCGATTGCGTTCCTACACCAAATCGCGTCAGATGTTCGGGCCTCTGTGAAATCATCATACAGTGCATCGTTTGACGGATATTCCGTGGTAAAAAAAATAAAAGACAGGTTTTCAAACGGCAAAATAATCAATTGGCAAATGTGCCTAATCATTCTACATTATTATTTTTTAAAGTAAAAATATAGCACTCTCGTGTAGCATGACAATCTCCCCTGCTCCCATGCTCAAACGATACATCTCAATTATAGAGAAAGCACCCGCAATGTCAATATGAGTCACAAATGAATTTCTTTCTTCATGGAGAAAGATAAGAGCTTAGCGCGATACAATATCTACTTTGAAATGCACAAAAAAATATTGGCGCAAAACATAAACGGGTGTGGGTGGGGGGGGGGAGAGATTGGGTGGGGGGGTGGGGGAGTCCTCTGAATGAAATACGAAAATACAATCACAACAATATAATAATGCAAGCAAACAGGATTTAACAGAGCGTCGTGAGAATAGCCGCTGAGTGCAATGACAACTTCAAGGATAGAATGCGCTACGCGCACGGGAGGGCAAGGGCGCAATGTACATAAAAATGAAATAGTCAAATAAAATAAAACCACATCGAGAGTTTACCGTGAGTGGGCGTTGTAATTGATGCCCGAATCTGCGGAGCTCAACAATTAACAACTCGCAGCGAGCGAACAGAGTTCACGCGCGTCCACCCACCGTACGCCTGTTGCTTGTGCGTACGCACGTAAGGTGTGAAATGTGACACCCGCGGATGGCGTTGTCACCGCCACCACCACCACCACCACCGTCATCACCATCATCATCATCTTCATCACGAGTCACGTGTATGCAGTAAATGTTTACGCGCCACGTAATTATCTTGCGTTACGAACATGGGAACACGCAGATTGCTGGGCCGAGAAGTAATTTTATTATGAAATGGAACGAGCTAAGAGGAAATTTTTACATAAATTATTGCAAAAATTACTGTTCGCTGCAGAAAAAGAAAAATGGTCATCAGAAAACATTAATGTTTTAATTCTCATCAGGCCCGCTGCTGTAAGCAAGTCTCCAACTCTTTCCATCCACTCTCTCTCTCTCTCTAGCCTCTATTTGTGTGCTAAGAAAAAGGGCCATTACCCAAAACGTCGTCGAATATAAACGTAACATTTTAAGGCCACAGTGTTATTGACGGATGTGTTGAGTATTTTAGATATTTTGCTTTATCTTTAAGAGGGGGCAGAGCATGGCTTCGCTCAGGTTGCAATTCCCACGTCAGAATCAGAATCGGAATATTTATTTATGCTGGACGAATCCAATGAGCTACGAAGCTTAAAGGTGTCCCCAAAACCTCCTCCTCTTAGCCCAATCTTTTCTGTAACACTGACTGTCCTCCCCCCCCCCCCCCCCCCCCTTGATATATCTCCCCTCAAGCCACACTTTTATTTTGTTTAACTAGGCGAGAACTCAAGAAACCAGGGTGAGTCTCGCCAAAATAACAAGAGCATAACAAGTAAAGGCCTAGATTTTTTTAAGTTTTTTTTTTTTAAAGCTCACAATTTTGGCCCTAACATATTTTGGAGGCCGGCAATGAACAATGCTTGTTTTTTTTTTAAATGATGTTCAAAACCTTTGAAAAAGTCCCCAAAAACAAATTTCAATTATTTCGACTATCATTTATTTATTACACCCCCTCCGCCCCCCAATTTGCGGGGCCCAACATATAAAAAGTGTTCGCGTTTGTTTTGCTGGTAGTTGCAATCAGCATCATCAGTCAGTTTGTGGAAAATTATGAAAATCTTGCCCAGTCTTGGGGCCTTAAATGGTAGGGTGTGCGATTTGGTGAGTGAGCGAGTTATTGGGGTACTTATTACGGGTGCGAAGAAAGTGCAAGTAATATTATCACGCTCGCAAGGCACAATACCCGGTTCACGTGCGCGAGGAAAGCCGAGGATGACAATGGATGGATAACATCAAAGCATGGACGAGGCTCACGCTGGAACAGACGATGAGGTTAGCAGAAAACAGAAGTCAGTGGCCCGTGTTGCGACCAATCCTCGGATCAAGGACGGCTGAAGACAGCACAGGACAAGCTTTTCCGCTGCGTAATTTATGCAAAATTTGACATTTTTAGAGCACAAATCACCCAACAAACTTTTGAGATTGGGCCACTCAGGAGGTTGATAAGTAGCGTCTAATCTACAAGGTGCCGGAGGGCAAACGTTACTAAATAAATAAACAAGGCTGTGGAATATTACGTAGTCAAGACATTTGTTCTTATTTGTTCAAACGAAACAGCTGAATGCTACCGCCAAACACTGATCTCAAAGATTGCACAAGTCAATAGATTATCTGTTGGTAATTAAACAATCGGCCTTGTTATATATATATTATTATCATCATCATCAGTAATGCATCCTTCCTCCGAACTTGTTTTGAATACTCGCAAATTAATGCAGCAACTCATTTTTTTGGGGCAATTTGTTCCGGCCCCGTGGTACCCCGGCGGTTTTAATAAATCTTTCCTCACATCCTTCATCCTCGCAGCAGCAGCAGCAGCAGCCGCATCAGCCGCAGCAGCAGCAGCAGCGGCTTTTGACTCACCATCGAACAAAGGCGGTCACGGCGTCGCACACTTTCGGATGCGATTTTGGCGGCCGCCTTGAATGCTCTTCCTTCCGATATTAGGAAGCCACACGAGCTATTGGCTTTTAAGTCATCGAGGTTGTAAATTCATTTCTTTACAACTGATTTTTGTGTTCAGATTGGTTTCCTTCCTCAAGCAACCTCCAATTAGCACGGTTGGCGATGTACGGTACGAAAGATGCATGGTGCGAAAGAAGTTCAACATGGATACATACATATCCGAATCAGAGTATCTATACAGAAGGAATCCGATAAGCTATGAAGCTCTTTTTCACAGATGCCCAGGAGGAAATATACACACAGGGGGTGAGAGCCAGAGCAGAATGTAAGATAGATAAAAGCAGAAGGTAACGTTACTCATCCTCTATAATAGAGGCGTTTTTGGGTTAGATCGCGTAAATATATAGCGTCGCCTGATGAAGCTAGTTGTAATTACTGGCGAAACGTCGTACTCAGATTGTAAATGTTGTGCCTTGGCTCTCCAACACAGCGGTTAGTGCTGTACTAGTGACGAATTGGCCACGTTCTGTTTACGTGACAACCCTTACTAGTTGGCTGTGTCGGGTGGTGGCGGGTTTAACCTGGTCACATTTATATATTTATGCGATCTAACCCAAAAAAAACCTCTATTATGGATGATATTGTCGTGAACGCCTCCTACGTGTTGAACTGTTACTCATCCTGTTGAGCGTTGAACATTCGGTAAAACCGTGTACAACGTTCACTCTGTCATCCCTACCCCACCTCGAGTTTAAAAAAAATATTTTAAACAGGGTCAAGCTGAAGAATTGCCTGGCCTGTTAAATAAAAGATAACACAAAATATCCATTCGCGTCGTCATGGAGAATATAAGTAAAAAAAAAGAATCACGCAGACGATGTCCCTCCTTGCCAAAGCCTTCCCGTAAAATACAAAAGTACATCTTTCTTTACAACCCCATCAGCCACGTGGCCTTCTGGGAGTCATTATTTTCAGCAGCACTTGTTCAATATAAGCAAACTGTCGATTGGCGTTGACATTTACCATCTCATCGGCAGAGTAAGTCCTGCTAAATGCAACTCTGGGGAACTGTTAAATAATATAGCATCACACCAGGACCCAGTATTTTAAAGAGAGGGCCCTTGACTCATAGACGTTCGCGAGCATTGATTCAGGTAAACCTAACTGCTGATGAGACACTGTTTCTCGAAACGAGTCCAGAGGTCTTCCTTGTACTGAATCAACTTTGCTGAAAGTATGCACTCCCCGAAGGCCACGCGGCCGATAGCTTGTGTAAAAAAAAGGAAAACAAAATCACAACAATCTAAATGCTTGTGTTACTCATGATCTTCCCTACGACGCCGATCATAATTTTGTGTTGAGTACAACGGCGTCGAGAGGCGTCCTCACCTTCCATGGCGAAGGGCTTGCCCACCTGCAGCAGCTGGCAGTCGGGATCAACCGAGACCTCGTAATCCAGCAGCGCTTTGTCCATTATAAAGGCGTCCAGCAGACCACTCCTGGTGGCATGACAGCACAGCGATGCGAAGGTTTGAATTAAAATGTTCCAAGAGACCCTCCTTTCAATGTGGACATCAAAATTACATGGCTTGGTACGAGCACGCGCAATTTCGTTGAGCGGTGGCGCAGCGGTTGGGACGATGCTCTACGATACCCGCTTTCGGCCAATTTCGGTTACGTACATCTGAACCGGATCTGGGCCCACCCTACGTCGACTCGGCCTTACATGAATAATGCGGATATGGTGTAAAAACATTGGCACTGGGGAAACAAAGGCGGCCGGGAGTGGTGCTGACCGCCCACCCCCTTGTGCGACACACCGACCCCAAGCAGGCTGCTCGCGAACAGTCGCTTGCCCCATCAGCCTGCCCAAGGCTGCACGGGTGGACCATTGCCTCTGGTTTGCCTCCCACAAGAGCTTTACCGCCTGAAATGTAACGGAAAATAACGTGGGGCAAGCAGAGCCCCTCGGCACGTCCCTTCGAGGCTGTAAATCCTGCAGAAGGCGGCCGCTCGAAAGGGGAAGTGACAGGCACTCAGGGTCAACAGCGGGCGCTGTCCGTGCAAGCGGAGGGTCGCGGGGAGTACGGAGTGGCCGATGCCAAAAGACAAGTTGTTTGTGATGGCTAAGGCCAAGCTGTGCGCACGACGGTTCGTGCCCTCAATCCTTCCCCCCACACCCAACCCCACCGTGCTCGCTTCTCGGTGCATGAGCGGGGATCGTTCCCACGAGCCTCTCTGCCCCTCTCTCTCTGCGTACGAAGCACTCCGAGCGGAGGCAACGACCAACAAGCCAACGAGCGGGACGAACCCCCCCCCCCCTCCCCCGCGCTTCCAGCGCGGGCGTCATCGAAGGCAAGCCTAGGTCACGGGGTTATTCGTTAACAAAGCGAATAAATGCGTTGGGGTGCTTGAAGTTTAGCGGCGGTTGCCGCACTGCACTATGAACTTGCCGGCCCGAGATCGACTCCCGGCCTACGGCTAAGTGATATTGAAACGGGCCTTGGATTTGGCCCCTTCACCACACCGAGCTGACCGGCGTAGTGAAGTATGGTCAGACAACCCCTATGACCGACGGGGCATGGGGGAGCTTTCATCTAGTAGTACATTGACAGAGGAATGTAATATTCTTGTTGCTGAACGTGGCTCTTTCACTCCAGCGCTGTCCTACCAGACAGTCTCGTCCCTTCACCTGATGAAGGCCGCTTGTGTTGTGGCCGAAACGTCGTGAGAATATAATTGTGTTATTTTATTTTAATCAATTTATTATTTTATTCTCATTCTACGTGACTTTACCGAAAGAACCAAAGAAGATGAATCATTGCAGTCACGAAAGCTTTAAATCGAAAAATATTTTTATTATTTGATTGTTTCCCTTCTACGTGACTTTACCGAAAGAACCAAGAATATGAATCCCTGCAGTCACGAAAGCTTTAAATCAGAGGAATGTAAGTTATTAATTACCGTCGTATTTATATAAAGTTTAAATTATTTGCTGCTCAATGGAGTGTTCACTTTTAAGAAACGCAAGTGGGCTCGGGCAGGGACACATCGCTAGGGTTAGGGTGCATAGTTAGTGTTAGAGACTAATGACGGAGTGGCAGCCAATAGATGGAACATATCTTACTGAGAACACCACTGAGGAAATCTTCGTCACGAGATCAACCTGTGGTCAGGAGCTACATGGATCATCCAAATGCCATAACCGTAAGAATTGGTGATGGCCTTCAGGAGACTTTCTTCCAGCAGTGGATAGACAGTTGGTGATGATGAAACCCCACGCAGATTGTTTCTCCATTCTTCATACAATGCTGGCATGCAGTGTAAATTGTGCGAACGTAAACTTACCACGGGAATTAAACGAGGTTAAATGTGTCACGTGACCCACGTGTGCCCGTATAGCTGACACCTTTTTACCGATTGAAAGTAAAAGAAGCCAGTACGCCTTGATGCAATCATCAGAGACCTTGGCCAAATTTCACGACCGCTTAATCTCACCGGTGAGTCTCACCGGCCGTGGGATCAAAATTCAATCGCTAGAAAAAATACTTTCCCCGGTGATAATGATTCTTACGCACGTACAACTCACGAACGACACCGGGAGACAGCTCAATTGAGCGTGGGTTTGTACTCCAGATTTCCCTGGATTTTCTAAGATTTTCTAGCAAATTACTGTTGACTTATTATTACATTTTTGGTACAAATCGCGGATCGTAAGTTCGCGAACAACGAGAGAAGACTGTGATACAAAAAAATAAATCTAGCAAAGCAGTCCACTGCCACCCAATTTGGCAATACTTGAAATTAACGGGGTTTCACCTTAACGTTTCCCGGGATTTTATTTTGCGGCAAGATTGTTGCGGAAATAAATTCACAAAATATTGTCAGGCAGTGAACTCTTTTGGCCTTTCTAGATTTAAAGCTTTCGTGACTGCAAGGATCCATACTCTTTGGTTCTATTCGGTAAAGTCACGTAGGTAAAAAATAAAACAACAAAAAATCACGACGTTTCGGCCACAACACAAGCGGCCTTCATCAGGTGAAGGGATCACGCTGTCTCGAGGACAGCGCTGGAGTGAAACACAGCCACGCTCAGACTGCGACCTTTAAGCTGTGTGCGAGGAAACAAGGTGTCCTGACAAAGGAATTAGCAATGATACCAAGAGCTCTGTCATACTGCATAGTTTTATGAAAATGCCACACACACAAACTACGACAGGAGATTACCTGTCAAAATTGAGTACTTTTGTTGGCCGGATATGGCTGTTGTCTTTTAACAACTTACGTAAAACAAGGCAACACAAACGGAATAATTTGCCAATGTTACCACTACTGATGCATAATTACAACCATTCACAATGCATGGCACGCATTTATCCCTTACTACCAAAAGCCATCAATATATAATGGGTGCAATAACATTACCGAATAAAAAAAAAATCCCTTTTTTTCCCATGCATTTTCCTATTTTAACGCGTTGTTAAGCTCTTGTAATGAGAATTTACCTCGCCGCTCTCTCTCTCTCACTCAACTGTCGAGTGTGGCGACAGAGAGAAGGGGAACAGAGCGCAGAGGAAGACAGCGGAAAAGTTAACGGCAGTGAGACGGAACTACAGAGTTCGAAGGTCAGGACGAGACGGGAGTAGTTGGTGGAATGGAATGAGAGAAAATGGCATTTGTCCAACAGTGGGAAATCACTAGCTGACACGAACAACAGCACCAGCAGCATATCTCCGTCTGCAAACGGTTCTGTTTGAAGTGCCCCCTGTATAGAGGCTCGTAAATACCACGTGGAGTGTTAAATCATTCAATGTTGTGCACTCACGATCATCATAAGCCATGATCTATCCACATACAGAGCCATCGTTTTCGCAAACGTTCAATCAGCTGTCGAGAAGAAACTTAGAGAGTTGTTATCAAACAGTGGGGGGTATCTCTAAATAGACCACCCTGTATATTTTGTGAAGGTGGATATCCAATGATCCCAATATTATGGTTTATACTACGAGAAAAACTTATGTTCTCTCCCAATCCGTGAAGCATTTTGAGATGAGGTTGCATTCAGACGCTATCTAAATGCATATTGTATTTACGTAACAAAACTAAAGGATTTTAAAGCAATGTGTTTTTATTATTATATTACTATTACTTTCCTTAAACACACACAACAGGAAAGGCAAACCTTCTACTGAGAATAGTAATTTCCCTCCATAGTAATGTGGAATTTCGGCTTCTGGCCTCGAGGCAGCCAATGACGGAGGCAACCGTGGGCTGACGCTCGTGTGAGTGTGGGGGGGGGGGGGAGGCATTTTCAGCTTGCCTCGTGGTCTATCTACTGCAACAACAAAACAACCGAGCGAGGCTGTTATCTGCAATGGCGCAACTGACCCCCCCGTTTCTCTTCCTCTTCTTTTAAATGACAATCGTCCGGACGGAATTGGAGAAGATTGTCCCTCCCCTGATCTTTACTCACAGCGGGCCGTCCCCACGTGCCATTGTCTGGTAAGCTTTGCCTCTATCTGCAGAAAGTGCGCGCTATCTTGGCAACGTCTCGTCGAAGCCAAGCACCGCGGTCTCACCACGCTAAAAAAAATAAAAAAAACATTATCCCACCCATCGTCATCAGCCATGATCGTTCCGCTGCTGGATGACGGCCTGCCCCCCACCCCCTGCCAAGTTGCCACCGCCTCTTCACGATCCTGCGATGCAAATGATCCGCGGTAGCGCCTATGCAAGAGCTGATTTCATCGCTCCGTCTCAGTTGGCTGACGTGCTCTCTGTCGCGTGGTTATTATCCTTGATCATTGTCCACCATCCCATTCTGCGTGCTCGTCCTGTCAATGCCCACTCGCTTTTCTCAAGTCAAGGCGGTATCATTGCTTTTCATATTTTTTCCCCCTGTTCTATGCATTATTTGTTACTACCTCTCGATGTAATTCATGACCTTACAATTTCAGTCGCATTTTTCTTTTGTTAATGGCCTTATTTTTGGATTCATACACCAAAGTGAGTAATACACGACAATTCAAATGGATCTTTAGCGCGTTCAGTCTTCCAAAAGCACTCCAAACTGCCACGTGTGTCCCTCTTTATTTAATAATTTCTACGATGTTCCATCGTCAATAATTGCCCAAGGTTTATGCTCTGCTTTGTTTCTCAGGTGTTTGTGTGAGTGTGTGTTTTAGTGTAGCGGTAGTGTAGGGAGCGGTAGTGCAGCGGTTAGCGTGCTGTGCTACGAACTCGGTGACTCGAGTTCGATTCCAGCTCACAGCCAACACCAGTTAATTTTATCGGAACCGGTCCCGGGTACCCCCTAGGTCGACTCAGCCTCAATTGAGTACCTAGTGGGATGTGTAAAAACCATTGCCACTATGGATACAAAGGCGATCGGGCATGGTGCTGGTCAACCAGGCCATCGTGTGCCGTTTCGGCCTTCATAAGTGCTCACGCACAGCACTTGCCCCAACAGTCTGTTAAGGCTATCCTGGGGGATCTTTATTTTTGCGTCTTAACTGCTGTTATTTTGACGAACAAAACTCAACGTACAATAAACAAACACGCGTGTAAAAACATTTTCCAAACATGTTTTCAGGAACGTCGATTAATTCGAACAAATTTGGTGAGAGTAAATCTTTGAGATGGATTTGAGAAAACCACATTTGTCTCATTATGACCTTGAGAGAGGCTCCATCAATAAGAGGAACGTGTGTAAGGTAATTAAGGGCAGATATTGTCTCCTAATGAACTGTGGATTATAATTAGCTGGTGTTGATTTTCATTGGTGCGAAAACGTATTTTGTACCAATTTAAATCTCATTACAGCTGAGACTCTATGGTAAGTTGATATTTATAAATCATATCGAATTGCATTAAATAAAACTAATTAAAACGGTTGTGCATCTTAAAACAATTCATGAAGCTTATAAGAAAATTACATCCGACACACACACACACAAAATAAATTGGCAGGCCCTATGCAACGCCGACCCAGAATTTAATATATTTTTCGCATGCTTTGCTCATGATGAAAAACTTGTATTTTAGCATTGACGTAAAAAACTCCAGTAAAAACAAATTGTGCTTTAATGTATTTTACGTGTAACGGTTAGCACAAATAAACCTGCAATCCAGAGGTCGCAGGTTCGATGCAATCTCCCGGCACGAGAGTTGGATCACATGGCACGTGTTTTAAATCTCCCCTCACCTCTGTTCCACCGAGCTATAAAGCCCCTTTTCACGGATGTCCAGTGTAACTGGGCACACAGCATTTAGCTGTGTGGGTGGGGTAAAGTGTGGGTTTTCCCAGAATTCCCGAGATTTCTGGGGAGCGCGGAAGAGTAGGTCAACAATCGCTGCTATAGAGTGGCACATTAAAGCCCCCTCGAGTCGAGCATCCTCCACCAGCAGCGGCGTGAGCGAGCCATTGCAGGGCTGTGCCTTTACCTCTACGTTTCTCACGACAAAAAGAGTCGTGCGGCACCAAGTGCCTCGGCGGACTTGTTGTTGTTGTTTTGTGTGTGGCATTTACATCGGAAGATTCCGGTGGGAATTCTGGACGCCCAATTGTTCACACGTTAGATCTGCCGTAGGACGCAGAGGGGAACTCGGGGGAATTTTGATTTCGAAATGCCAGCAAGGACGCCGCATCCGCCTCTTTAATCCCCGAAGCGCAAATACCGACGCAGGACGGGAGCCTATCATGGCCATGGCTCTGAGCTGTTTACATTCGTGCGCGCGGTGCTCGTTACACACGCTGCAGAGTCCGGATTAATTGCTTTGCTCTTCAGTTGCTCGTCGTTCAGGCTAAACGCAGAGCCATGGACAAGGTGGCCTAGAGCGTATATACATTTACGAGCAATCGGAAAAATCTAAAGGTATTTTGACCCCGTGCGTAAATGCGGTGTCGGTAACTTAATAAAACGGAAATAATCGTGGGATTTTTTTTTATACGTAAAAATATATATTTCTTTATACATCTAAAATTTATTTTATGATTGTCAATTTAGCCAATTGAGAATAACATTATCCTTGATGGCTGGATTGATTTTTTAAATCTATTTGAGGCCGTTTATAACGAGGAATTTCGTGGCGAGAAAGGATTAAGACAATGTGGAAGTTCGGAAGAGGACATGGCAGGGCAGTGCTCTGGAATATGATTTAGGCGTATGCATGTTTAATGACTCATATTCTTGGTTCTTTCGGTAAAGTCACGTAGAAGGGAAACAATAAAATAATATTGTTTTATATTTTTATTATTTTATTGTTTCCCTTCTACGTGACTTTACCGAAAGAACCAATAACACTTGTCTTTATTCTTTATTTATTAGGGCGCAGATAACGTTCTCTCATATCCTACAGTACTTAGAGCTATGACTAGCATACAGCACTGGGCGAGAATAACAACAGATTCTTGGGCTACGATAACGACAGATACTTGGGCTAGGACGGCACATCAAGCAACGACCGCATGGGGACAGTGACGACACAAAGACAGCGAGGGCCCGAAGTCGACGGCGGCGTGGAACCAGTCCATTCCGACCCCAGGGCATCCCCGAGCTCCCTCAGTCTCCGCCTTCTGCGTCGCCTCGCCCCGCCCCCGGACACGCCCCGCTCCCGGCCACGCCCTCTTTCTCAAACCGGCTCAGCCCAACTCGAATGGTTCCCTCCTGCAATTAGCCCTCGTGACCACCTGGCCACGCACTGCCCCTATCCCCTCATTATCTCTACCCACGCACCGTCTCGCTCTCTCTTTCCGCACTGTCCCTACACATGTACAGGGACTCCTTCTACTTACGAACGAGTTTGGTTCCGAAGGTCTGTTCGTTAGTCGATTTGTTCATAAGTCCAACTTTACTCATGTCGATTCCAAAAATGCTGCACGGTGTATACACTAAACACGGGGAATGGCTTTAAAAGTTGTATAATCTCCTGTAGATGTAGATGCCACTGGTTCTTCACGTTCTGCAGATGTAGATGTCCCCACTGCCATCTATTGCACGGCTGTTGAACTTACGACTCTCGATCTGAACAGGCAACTGGACATACAGACAGGTTTGTTCGTATCTCTGAAAGTTCATGAGTCGAATGTTTGTAAGTAGAGGCGTCCCTCTATGTTGAACTTCTCGCGCACCGTACATAGCCAATCGTGATAATCGGAGGTGCATAAACGGTTGCACTGGGTGGTTCACGTGTGTGCAGCATGGGGGAAGGCCAATTAATGAGACATCCATTGGCGTGGTCTCCATGAGGAGTCAATCGCCGGATTTGAAATCGAGATCTCAGATCGTGGGCATTGCCATGAAACTTTTATTTTACCAGTTAAGGCCCACTGAGCTTCATAACTCTTTTTCAGAAGCGAAATGGCCATCACAAATGACAGCTCAACAAAGCGGCTTATCGCATAGGAATGCGTAGCAGCCGATTACTCTAAATGCACGTCGATCTTAACTGTGGAAGGTAAAACCGGAGGATCAGGAGAGAAAAAAAAAACATCCAGCCAACAACGGGCAGATATCTTCTTTGGTTCTTTCGGTAATGTCACGTAGAATGAGAATAAAATAATAAATTGATAAAATAAAATAACACAATAATATTCTCACGACGTTTCGGTCCGAAAGAACCAAAGAAGATGAATCCTTGCAGTCACGAAAGCTTTAAATCGAAATTTAACGGGCAGATAGTCAGAGAGAACATTCAAACTTCAAATGAACACAGGTGTCAGCGTCAGGATCGAACCCCTCGACCTCCTGCCGGCTCGAATCGAGCGCGCCGTTTGAGCCGGCTCAACTGAGCCAGTGCCAAGCCCGAGCCGAACGACCCACGACGAAGGGTGACTTTAAATTTTGATTTAAAGCTTTCGTGACTGCAGTAATTCATATTCTTAGTTTTTTCGGTAAAGTCACGTGACTTTACCGAAAAAACTAAGAATATGAAGGGTGACTTTGTGAGAACCGTGGTGGTGGTGGGGGTGGAGGGAGGGAGCGGGGCCCACCTGAGGCGGGCAATGCCCTGCGAAGCGGAAGGCACGTTGTGCTGGCGCATGTGCTCGTGGATCTCCGGGAAGACCCTCGCCACGTAGCTCTCGGCGCCGCTTCCCCGCACCGTCCCGCAGCGCAGGCCGTGCGACGGATGCTGCAGCTGGGCCAGCCGAAACACGCGCACACACGCACGCGCACGCGCGGATAAAGGCAAAGATCCAACCCCGTATAGCCTGTGACAGACCGTCGGGGCAAGTGCTGTTGGCGAGCGCCTGCGAAGGTCCGGCACGGCACGCGAAGGGGGGGTGGGCGGCCAACACCGCGCCCGGCCGCCTTTGTCTCGCGAGCGGTTGGGTTTAGAGACCGCAGCAGGTATTAAGTTGAGGTTGAGTCGACCTAGGGGAAGTGAATGAATGGTTAAGATAATCGTCGCTTGTGTTGGCCGTGAGCTACCGCTCCCCGTTACACACGTGGGCACGCGCCCAACACACACAAACAAGCCCAGATGCACGATACACATTTATGTGCCACGGCAAAAGAGGACATCGCCTTAGAAGGAAGCAATATATGAAAGTCAACATTTCGGGCAATGGCTTTACTGCATAGCACAAGGTAGAGAAGCCAGAGAGATAGAGTGGCCAATTCTCTTGAGATCCCACGCTGTTCAGTGTAGTCTCAGACTGTGATAATTATCAGCTGCATTTTTCTGGCCTCTCCATTCATATCCGCATTCAAAATCATGACGTCCATTTCTCCAAGAGGACGGAACGGCAAAACGACACGAACTGTCGTCTCCTGTAGCTCTCTCGTCGTGGCTAGCCGACCTCGACATTGTCATTTAGCTCCTGAACACATTGTAGGAATACGCAACAGTAGAACAGAATGTACTCAATAGTGGAAGGCGCCTTACAAATAAATGTAAATTATTTTATTAAGCAGCCCCATTCCCCCGAAACATCGACCACTGTTTTGTGCAAACCCGACATCTGAACTCCGAAGCACCGCTCTCGCAGTCTCATCACCACCACCGATTAACACGGCTGGCTACGGTACCGTGCGAAACAAGTCCGACATACATAATACATACTCTCAGTCTTCCCCTTGTTACCCGGTCGACACGTGCTTCAAGGATCGCTCTCGCAGCCTTGCGTGCGGCTCAAATAAAAACCAAATTGGCAGTGGATTTGATTTGAGAAACTGGTGTGCACGCGTGGGTGTATTTTTCCCACTCGCTCTCCGTTCAACGCTCTGCTGCTCGGTCATTGCATTCACGAAGGCCACGGATGGCTTAGACAGCAAACATCCCGGGATGGTAATTGATCATTTGCACCTGGGAGACTTGGGGTGTGCAAGATGATGCAGCTCTGCTCGTGGGGGACCTTGGCTAGGGCATTGCCGCTTTTGGCACAGCCACTTCGCTCACGTGATTTGTGTGTGCGCGCGCGCGCGAGGAACGGCACGGGTCGCCGGTTTGATCCCCCAGTTGCGGCAGTGGAAACAAAGGACACGTTTCCTAAATCATCGCCGCCCCTGTCCGCCGAGCGGCCAATCGGCAAGGCGCGTGCGGTGGGGTAAAGTGTGGGTAACTTCCCACATCCTCGAAGAAGTCTGGCCAGCGTGTAAGGGGCCGTCCATAAATGACGTCACGCGATTTTGGACGATTTCCCCCCCCCCATCGTCACACGGCGTCACAAAAAATCAGACCCCCCCTCAAATATGACGTCACAAAGCTCTGCCCCCACTCCCCCCCCCCAAAAAAAAAAACACATGCTTCAAATCGCTTTAAAATATATTGTCATTTGTAGTGCGTATTTAATGTGGCGCTGCACTCTGATGTTGTAGGAGAAAACATTTATTAAAAAGTCTATTTATTTAAGTAGAACGTGTCGTCACACATCGTCACAAATGTCTGACCCCCCCCCCCCCCACCAGGTGCGTGACGTCATTTATGGACGGCCCCTAAGGGTAGACCAAATACCATTTGGCGCATCTGCCGGCGGCGGCATGAGCAAAGCCATTGCAGGGCTGCACCTTTGACTATTATTGCAAGCCACCGACTATAATTTGCTGTGTCGTCACCGCTTGGATACCCGTCGCAGTCTATTCCACGCAGGATGCATGAGCGTTCCTCCTCATGTCCACGTTGACGTTAGCTCACTCGGCTCGAGGCGTCATCGGTAGCTCGGTGCCGTCTCTGGGACGGCCGGGGGAGGACAAGGCCAAGAGGCGTGAGATCCGGTGACTTCGAGGGCCCAGTTCGATCGGACCTCACGTCCCAAATCCGCCCGAACCGCCTTGAGCGTGCGTCCTGAATGTCCTTTTAATAAATGCACGAACGGAGATCGCAAACGTTGAGCTGGCACGTAAATTGCTATCGTTTCTGAAGTTTACCGCACAACTCGCCCGGTTACTAAGAGCCAGAATATACAGAGAACATCACGTGTTCACGACTCCAATCAACGGGGTAAGGCATTTGTTTCATGTTGTGCTTGAGCGTGGTATGTGCAAGGCATTTGTTTCATGTTGTTTATAAGCGTGTGTTTTTGTACTGGTGAGGCATTTGATTCGCGTGGTGTATTAATAATTTCTGTTGCTACATACCGATGCCGATTTTTTTCCCGCGCGCATTCGAAAAATGTCCCCTGCACGGTATCCATGCCACAGCCTTTCCCCCCTCCCAACCACTGAAACCCATGGGTTGATATACTCATGCACACACACAAAACCCAACACATTATAGAGATCCCTGCGCCGCCAATATGAGTCAGCAGTGCTCAATGAAAATCCAATATGTTTGTAACGGAAAAAAACTCAACACATTTGTCGATAAGACTGTGGCCTTGAAAGGAAAACAATATATCTCCATATATAGAAAAGGCAAAGCTGTGATTATGTGTGTCTGTTCAAAAATGTTTAGCATACTTCCCAACATGCAACAAACTTGAAATTTGCCATGTGGGTACTTTCCAGACTGTACACCATGCAAAAATAATGAAAATACACTTTTGTTTTTTTATTTGGGGGGGGGGGGGAGCTCAATAATGCATATATTTTTTGCACGGCAAGTGAGCTATGACGTCAAATCTGTCACGTGACCCGCGCATGTGGAAGCGTAACGCATTGTAGTGTAGTGGTTAGCGCACCGCGCTACAAACCCGGCAAACCGAGTTCGATTCCCGCTCACGGCCACCACCGGTGACGATTATTTGAACCGGCCCTGGGCCTCCCCTAGGTCGACTCAGCCTCAAACGAGTAACTGGTGTGGTGTGTGAACATCGCCACTGGGGAGACAAAGGCGGCCGGGCGTGGCGAATCCAAGTCCCGGGCGAAGCCGGGTAGGAAATCTAGTACATATATAAGAGGCGATGTTTTGTGCAATAGCCGCTTGTTCATGGCACATGACATCAACTGAGGTGCTATATTATTTAACACAAAGTGCTTTCCACAAATGAACCACGGCACACCTTGCTGATCGCGCTAAGGAGCGTGAACCATCACGTGAGCTCTGGTCGTACTCACGGCGGCGGGATTTTGTCTGCTAGACGTCGAAGATGACCACCGCGTCGCGCGCTTTCAGACGCGGCCGTCTGGAACGCTCCTCTTTGCGATATCGTGAAGCACCTGGGAGCTATGTGTTATAAAACAAAAAAAATAGATTGAAAACTAATTTCATCACAACTGCTTTTTCGTGTTTAGTTTGTTGTCCTTCCCCCCTGCACCTTGTATTAGCATGGTTGGCTCCGTACGGTGCAATAGAAGTTCAACATGCGTACATACAAGTGTGACAATGTGTTTCAACAGCTCCGCTACATTGTACGTATTACATTCACCCGCACCCACAGAAAGCACGCTGTCCCAATATCGAGTCCATCGCCATAAGCACAAGCATTTTTTGACAGAGACAAACGCCGCTTACATGCAGCGCTGATAAAGGTCGATCAGTTAGCTCATCGACCGCAATTCGTATTCCGCGGAATAAATTGTGTTTCCACACCATTACCCCGGGAGGCAGGTGACTTCGACAAAACAGCCTCGTTTCATTTTGCACGCAAGGCAGCTAAGCGACGCCTCCGACCAAATCACTCCGGGATGCGCAGATCACGCCACGAGCTAAGCGTAGGTTGAGCCAGGGGAAGTGCTTGGATGGGCAACCTCTGGTCCCCGAAGCAGGCTGTTGCGGTGTGAGCTGCTGCTCAGCTATGCTGTCAGAAGAGAGGGGGGAGGTGCAACAGCAGGTCCATTGTTGTGACTCGACTACGCCCCGATGGCAACGGCCTCCCATCTTCGCCACGTTATTGTGAAGTTCCGCGCGCACTGGCGTATACTATGAGTGTGCGGGTCCCTGAGTGAGCCGACGGGTCTCTGTATGCAAGTCTATGCGAGTCTCTGTGCGAGTCCACGACGTGTGGGTCTCTGTTGTCGGTCTTTGTTGTGAGTCTACAGATCTCTCTGTCAGATAATTTGTGCCGGGTTACAGGGGTATTCCCTCCAGCTTCCGAGACGATCGGCCTCCCATTGAAAGAAGTTTAGATCCTGTCAATCAAAGCCTCCCCCAGCACACGTTTGCCGAGTTGCGTTTCTGTGCTCTAAACTAAACACATGTTTAATGTACCCGCGTAAGACCCGCTGAGCTATACGATACAACCTCGATTTACATCCGAGATCCATTCAACGGATCTCGGATGTAACGAACACAATCTGTTGAATCAAGAGTTTCGTCCGAATATCAGACAACAACAACAACAACGGACTTTTCCCCAAACAACGGACTAAGTCCAGTAATGGGGAAATCAGTCCAGTCAATATTCGCTTCTTCCCCTTAAATGGGTGCACAGCAATTATTACACTGCACGTGTTTTTTTTTTAAGATTTAAAATAAGTCAACACATATGAGAAATAAAAGTAGAAATGAATTGTACAATACATTTACGGTACTTTGGTCTTCGAATATATTTGACAGGACAGCGTCGTGTACGTAACATCGCGACAAAGGTGAACAGTGATTGCTTGACGCTTGGACAGTTTTAAGAGAACGGATTAGGATGGCTTTACAATACATGCAACCCTCCACTCAAATCATGGATATGCAAATGTGAATGTACAGTAGTACTATATTACAATATTAGTACAGCACGGCAATGTATTACCGTATTATTATTG